GTGCTGTGATGGAATTGCTAGAACTGCTAGGTTGCTGGTTCTATGAATTTGAGTTAGACTGTTGAATTGCATTGGTCTGATGAATTGCGTTTTTGTTATGAGATTGTTAATGGTTATTGAATTGGTTTGATTATAATTTCTGTTGGTTTGTTGTCGATTGAGAATTTAGCATGTTGAGAGTTAGTATTTATGGGAATGCTAACTTGATGCTATAAAAAAAAAACGGGTCAGGTTGTTTCAATTATTATTTTAATATATCTAAGAAAATATCCTCCTATATAAAAACTAACTTGGAAATATATCTAATTTGTTGGGCAAATTTGTCTGTTGAGAATATATCGGGAGATCTGTGGAAGTTAAATTCTAAACTAAGAATTTGTATGTGAATTTACGGAAGAAGAATTTAGAATTAAGAAATAGCTATATATCTGTTAAACAATGAAATGAGTTTGATGAACTGGAATTATATTGATATAGATCGAATATATAAAATGATCTCAAGTAAAAATTATTTTTACAGTGTTGCTCGTAGAGCTAAATGTTCTAATATCGAAAAAGGATCGTGAATTCGTTGATGATCCTTCATATTTGTAGGCTGCTCTAGCTTGTTGTGTATAGCTCCGCGTATCTTGGACTAATTTCGCGAATCTTGGTTCTGTTTCTAGCATGATCTCCGTATATCTCGTTGTTTTAGTATGTTAAAGATTGCCTTTGACTTGGTCTTTGCCAAGATGATGAGTTCTGATACTTAGCTGCTGTCCAGTTATTCACGTTATTAAGCCGCATGAGCCTTTTGTTCGAAGTTCAGGCCCAATATTTCTTTATAATTTGATCCGGATTTTTACGGGTATATTGGTGACAAATTTAGCTCCAACAGTTGCCCCAAGCCCACTAAATGCGAAGTTATAAGCACTTGTTGGGCGGAATATTTTATAGTGTTGGCCCTAACCGAACTGCAATTTCGGAGAAGACTTGATGGTAACACCGAATCTCGACTCAGGATACCACAATCATTGCGATCAAAATGGCTAGATTTAAATCGCTTATATCAACAGCTGAGATTGTGGGAGATGAGAGATTTTCGTGATCTTCGTGATCTCAAAACCGTGAGGCATTGTTGACGTATAAAGTCATGTCTCCTCAAATTCATATGTTCTGATCCACTACCAAGGTAAGAAAACTGGTCCTTTTTCTTTTAACTTCATGCATCAATTTTAACTTTTACTTCTTTATATCTGAGTAAAATTTCGAGCTTTTGCGAAGAACGAAACTGATTTCCTCTTGATTGTTCAGGTCGACCGATTTCGTTTTTTTTGGTCTCCACTTCTCTCCTAATCAACTAGCTCTTACGACAAGTAGGGTCCCTATGACCTGTCAACGATGACAACACAAGAACTCCTCGATCTGCACGGAGGGGTTGGGGTTTCCAGCTGATGTGGAGATGTTCCTTCCAACCGACAGAGAAAAGCTGAATCAGTCAGCCCGGGTTTCTATTGTATTCACCGGATCTATTTTCAATCATGCGGCGTGATCTTTCTTATCCCTTTTTACCTCATCCGCTTTCTTAAGTTCATGGGGACATTCATCCGATGCTACAAAACTGGCATGGATATAGGGACTCATGAGTTCCTCGAGTTACACCGACTATGTGTAACTCGAGGTGGCCGAGACGATTCTATCTGTCCCCTCGACCCGACTGAGGGATTGTTAGAGGGATCTCTTCTAAGAAAAAAAATTAGCGGGGAAAGTACTTTTTCTTGATAATTTCTCTGTCATTAGTGGCTCCGGTGGAAGAATTTAACCAACACTCCGTTTGGTTTACCGAATTTGTTGGTTAGGAAACTTTGCGTAGATAGGCAGTATCTAGCGTTGCTTACTTAGATAATGATTCCAAGTCTTGGTATGAAAATGCTTTCATTCTACGAAAGAGACTGCGACAACGATAACCATCTTATATCTGATAGTAGTATTTCGAAGCGGTCAGATGCTCTCGGAATCATTTACTTTGATACGCATCACGCGCATAGAAATCAAGATCTTGTAGGGTAAGCCATTCAGCCAGCCGAGCTCCTAGCTCCTCAAGCTCAAGTTCCTGAAGTTCAACCAGAGGCTCCTTCACCCGTAATTCATGAAGTTCAGCCAATAGCACCACCAGCACCAACAAGAATTCTCTCTGCTTGAAGACAAGGACGTTCAATTCGAGTCACTTTTCCAATGCCCACTGCTGTTTATATTCAGTCCACCGCTCCTATTCAAGGTCATGGATTTTGTTGTTTGTAGACACTTTTTGTTTGACGTCTTATTTTTATGTCCAATCACAGGTATTGTCCCTTTGATTATTCTAGACGCTAGCTCAACTTCTAGCACTCTTTCGAACCAAAGGATGATGTCTAGAAAAACAACTCTCCATCACCCAAGAAATCAACCAGCTGAATCCGGTGGTAGAGTCATTCAAGGAGCTAGCTACAGCTTTCCAGGTGGCATTGGGGGAAGCACATGCTCATGGCCCGAAGTCCTAGTTGTCTCTGAGGTGAACCAGCTCACCCTGGCCAAAGTTGGTTACACATTACCTCGACAATAGTTGAAGTGAATACAGATGCCCATTACTTCTTCTCCCATAAGGCAACCAACATAAATTCCTTTGGTGCTAATGGAAGTGATGGCCACTAGTCTAAACGGGCTAAGGTTAAGTCACCTCAGCTGGACATAGCTCACACCAGCAACGGTTCAGGGGAAGTAAGCTTTTTACCTGGGTGTACAATCACACAAATGACTGTCCCATGGCCTGCAAAACTAGAGGGGATGCATCATGTATTTTGAAACTGCAAGCCGGTTGGCTACCCAATTCCAATCGTGCGGAATCTCGTCTTCTGTGATGCTTTTGCAAAAATGACTTCTGCTTTCGGAATGTAAACTTTCTTGTTTTGTTTTAGTTGTTTCGAGTGATATGGGGCTTAGATTCTCTTTCTCCGTTACTCTTGTAGGTGATGGAAACTTAAGAATCACCACACATGGAAAAAAATCAATAGTGACGACAGAATCACTCAACGAAAATTAGAACTCATCTCAAAATAGTTTCGTCATGATAAGTTGTTCATTTAAGTTTCTCTAAGTTTTGAAATCAAATTCTGCAATGATCGTTGGTTTCTTTCAATAACGATTCAATTGCGTTTATTCTTTGATATTCATTTTCTTAAACTGAAAATACCAAAGATAAGTTCAACACTTATAGAATATACAAAACTCAAAGCAATTGGTATTACCTAAAATTTTGTAAATCTTATAAGTTATACTACCACAATACATTCACATGACTCTTCATATACTTTGTAGTCTCATTGAGTGTATAGATTGGATTAATAAATGAGCAGAAATAATGTTATATGTTTTCTTGTTAACAAGATTCACATGATTCTTTTTAACGAGGGTCTTTAGAATCATGTGAATCTAAGAAATTGTCAATGCTGCAAGCAAACGAGAGATTGATGTTTAATAATGGAAAAATAAAAGGAGCATAATTATATAAACCTCATAAAAAGACAATTTTTGAGGTTGAAGATGAAGAAAATGAGGGGGATGTCCTCAAATGGCCTCCTAGTTAGATTTCAATTCAGAACTAACTTTATTTTGTCTTAATAACCTT